AGCATGTCCTGCCCCGCCCCGCCCCGCAGGATCCTGCAAAACCCGTTTGGCAAGCAACCGCTCCAGTCCTGGGCAGGGATCCGAAAGGAAGAAGCAGAGCTGCCAATCCTCGGTCTTGGGAGCAAAGAGCCCGGCCTGCCCTCCTGCCCAGATCTCCTGGCAGGTGCTGGAGGCAGGCGGAGCATGGCTGACTCTGGGCAGCAGGAGCCCCAGGGCCACCGGGCAACCCATCTCACAAGCTGCCCTTCTGCTTGGCCGCCCGGGAAGCTGGAAAGAGCTGAGCTCTGGCTGGGGGCCCATGGCCCCTCCCTATTCCTACTTGGGGGGACAGGGAGGGGCCCCAGCCTTAGGGGCCTTTTCTGCACTGGAGGACCACGAGGGACAGAGCAGATTTGCCTTTGACAGGAGGGGAGCCAAAAGTGGCATCCATTTGAGGAAGCCGCATCTTCCTGAACTCTTGAGCTGGATACAGTCCCAGCCCCAGAAATCTGAATAGCCCCAACCCCGGCTGCCTTTTCCAACGTTCTGGAGCCCTGGCCGTTCCCCAGGGGCCGGAGCCTCTAAGGCTGCTGCAACTTCAGGTGCTGCTCTTCATCCCTACGGGCAATTGAGGACAAAGACTTGCTCTCAAGCAGAACTGGCTCCCCTTCCTGCAGGCCGCGGGATTAAGCCCCTCCCATCAAGGTTTTGCAAGACTTTCATAGCTCTTGGTCACGAAGCCCCCCCCCGCCCCCCCTTCTGAGTCCAAACCTTTGTCCACCAGGATTCCAAACTTGCAGCCAAGTGTTGAATACCTTCCTCTGGCAGTTTTGCAGGAGCATAAAACCCCCTCTGGAAAGACTGTTGATGCTCCCTCCCAAAGATTGGCCATGTACTCCGTCTCTCAGGCTGGGGGGTGAAATTATATGCCCCTCAGGCAGGGTTCGCAATTTGGGAGTCCTCCTGGACCCACAGCTGACCTTAGAACATCATCTGTCGGCTGTGACCAGGGGGGCCTTTGCCCAGGTTCGCCTGGTGCGCCAATTGCGACCCTACCTGGACAGGGAGGCCCTTCGAATAGTCACTCACACCCTTGTGACCTCAAGACTGGACTACTGTAATGCGCTCTACATGGGGCTGCCCTTGAAGAGCATTCGGAGACTTCAGCTCGTCCAGAATGCAGCCGCGTGAGCGATTGTTACACCCATGTTACACCTATCCTCCGCGAGCTGCACTGGCTGCCTATTGGGCTCCGGACACGCTTCAAGGTGCTAGTCATTACTTTTAAACCCCTGCGTGGTATTGGACCTGGGTACTTGAGAGTCCGCCTGCTGCCATTCACCTCCCTACAACCGATCAGATCCCACAGATTAGGCCTCCTCCAAATTCCATCCGCCAGCCAGTGTCTGCTGGCAATTCCCCGGGGGAGGACCTTCTCTGTGGCTGCTCCGGCCCTCTGGAACTATCTCCCCGTTGAGATCCGGACCCTCACCACCCTTCTGGCTTTCCGCAAAGCCACTAAGACCTGGTTGTTCCGGCAGGCCTGGGGCCGATGAATTTCCAGCCCCACTTGAATTGGTGCGACTGTTGCTGTGTTTCAATTTGTCTGTCTTCTGTTTTCCTGTTTGTATCCCCCCTTCCCCTTTGGTTGTTAGCCGCCCTGAGTCTCTCGGGAATAGGGCGGCATACAAATTGAATAAACATCAACACCCACCTGTGCTCTCAATCAAAAGCAAACGGCAGCGGCTCTTTTACGAACCGCAGTGCCAGGCCAAGCTGGGTGCTGCTCCCCTCCCCCACTGGGCAAGCCTCTGGTCAATAAGATCCAAAGCCAAGAGAAGAAAGGAACACAGGTTTATTGGGCAAAGGAAAAGCTCCAGGTGCGATGTCTGGCCGTCAGACTCTGGGTACAAAGCTTTTGCCAAGAATCGGCTTCTCCCTTTCAGACGCCACACACCCAGCGGGCAGACAGACAGACAGACCCCCCTGCCTTCCACGCAGCTGCAGCTTCTCTCTCTCTCACTCATCCATGCAGACACACGCACGCACACACGCACTTACCTGCCCAGGAGGCAACATTAGAGAAACAACATAGACAATTTTACAGGCAAAAACTAGAATAAAAGGGCAACAGTTCAGGAAATGCCCCCGCCTCAGGACGGGGCCTCACTTCTTGGCAAAGGAGATCTTCATAGCGTTGTTCTGGGTGATCTTGAACCCCTGGAGGGCATCACGGGCGGCACCAGCCTGCACTTCGTTATCGAATTCAACGAAGGCAATGTCATGGCGCCCGGGCACCAATCGCACCTCCTTGAAGCCGGGGAACCTGCAGCAAAGCAAAGCGGGCAGCTCAGAGCTGAATCTGCAAGACTGGCAACTTGGGAGAGGAGGGGGCCGCAGAGTCCCTCCTCTCTGAGGGGGGTTCAAGAGGCCGTCAGTCCAAAAAGGATTCTTGCATTAGGAAGAGGCTCTCGCGGGCATCAGCATAGGAAAGGCTGGTGCGCGCAGAGCGTGGAGGTAAGTCCAACCTTCGTCCAGCCCTTCGCTGCCAGCCCTGCCCGGTCCCTCCCCCAAAGAGCAGAACTTACTGGTTGAAGAGCATGGACAGCATCAACTCGTTCGTCTCCTCAGGGAGGTTGGTGAGGAACAGGATGTGGTTAGGCGGATTCTCTGAGAGCTGCAGGGGAAAGAAACATCCCACCGTTCCGATTGCTGAAGGCCCTCAGACCCCCCCCCCAAGGGGTTCCTACCCAATTAACCAGCCCCAACCAAGCCGGCCATGGATCACTCACCTGCGCTGTGGCCATCTGTCCTGGCAGCATCTGTTGTGGTGGCATCGCCCCTGGGGGCATGGAGCCCGGTGCCATGCCAGGTGGCGGCATCATGCCTGGAGGTGGCATGTAAGGAGGCTGCCCTGGCATGTGGTGCATCACACACGGGCCCTGGTTCATGGGGGGCATGCCCTGAGGAGAAAGCCAGGGGTGCAGGGAAGTTCATGCTAGGCCTCAGCAAAGCCAGCCCTGGGGCCCACCCTTCCAAAAGGCACAGAGACCCCCCAACTCTTACGGCTCCCATTCGGAAGCCAGCATAAAGCTCCCCAAAAGCCCTGAATCACAAGACCAGGCCGGGGGAGGGGAAATTTCACGCTTCAGAGTCTGCTTGCATTAAGGGGGGGAAAACACCCACAACCCCCCTACACTCTGCCAGGCTCTGGGCTTCGTCTTGGATAGGGAAAGCGTCCTGAAGGAAAGCAGAGGAGTGGTTTCCCCAGAACCAGCTGGCCCCAAAGTGCCCAGAGGCAGGCACTCACCGGCACGGTGCCCTGGACAGAGGGGGCAACCGGGGCAGCTGCTCCTGGCATCTGCTTCTTAACTGCTTGCACCTCCTGGCCTTTGGGCTTTCGCTTCTCTCTCTTGCGGTCCCTCTCCACAAAGGTGCCCTTCATCTTGGCTATGATGTCGGAATCTGCCTTGGCATACTGGATCCTCTGGGTATGGAGAAGCAGCACTGAGTTACCCGCCGCCTGGCCAGCCAACTCCCCCGTGGCAGAAAAGGCCGTTGGCCCGGCCACACGGGAGCGCACAGGCACTCGGCTGACTGCAATGAGATCTCCTTTCCCAGGAGAGCCACCTGCCTTCCCCCTCCCCAAAACCAAAAACGGTGGTTACTCACCATGGGCTTGTCGTAAAAAGGGAACCCTTGCATGGAGCGTAAGGCATTGGTGGAGCTGCAAATCTCTTTGAAAATGACGAAGGCCTGGCCTCTCATTTTCAGGTTACGGGACACCAGAATGTCAAGGATCTGCCCAAACTGGGAAAAAATGGCGTACAGGGACTTCTTGAGCTCTGGAGAAAAAGGAACATTTTTAACTTTTGCTCTGTGCTGCACAGCCGTATCTCCTGCAGTCAAAACACAAGTTGGTCACTGTGTTCTTAAGACACCTCAACTTTGGGAAAGTTCTTGTCCTTCCATAAATACTAGGGAGAAAATAAGCAGAATTTGCAGACAAAGTACAGGTGCTGCGATATACGCTCATCCCCCCCAAGTGTGCTTCTTCATTTCCAGAGTCTTTGATCCCAAAATAGATCATCAATAAGGAAACTGCAGCCCTCCTTAAGGCAAAAGCCCCTCCCCCGTGAAGACACCCCCAACTCACCGTCTTTCTTGATTTTCTCGTTGAGGTTGTTGATGTAGATGGTGTGGTTGGACCGGGACTCTGGGACAGCCATGGCAACGGCAAAGCTGAGGCTGGCAGGGAACGGAAAGATTCAACCAAGCGAAGCAATTAATCTTTACGTTAAGAGACAAAACTGTAAAACAAGAGAAAGAGCTCAATTACGGGGAAGTTATTATTTTATTATTATTTATTAAATTTTGTATGCCGCCCACTCTCAAAAGAGACTCAGTTGAATCGGAACACTCAGCCAGCCCCAAGGAAACGGCCACCCGCTCCCCAACGCTCCACAGAACGGAACGGGAGGAGGCTGTGGGTCCCGGTTACCAAGACCGCGTAGCTGAGAGCGGAAAGGAGGCCATTCGGTAAAGCATGAAGTGGACGGGAGGCCACCAGAGCGGAATGCAAGGAAAGCGCCTTCCTCCAAACGGATCTAATGCCGCTCGAGCCTTCCTCCTCCTCCTCCTCGGAGGGCACCAAACGTTGTCACGTATTGTGTAGAATGTGCCCGGCATCCACTTTCCTTCCAAGAAACCGCGACCGCCGCTTCCCCTTCCCTCCGCCTTTCCCTTCCAATTCCGTTCGAGCGGCGACGGCTGCTACCCCGGGTGCTCGAGCTTCCCCCCCCCGTCCCCGAGGAGCCAGGGGGGGGCTCGGAAAAACGAAGAGCCCAGTCCGCGCCGCCGCCCTTGACGGTTAGGATCCGGCCAGCGCCTGGCCCCCACCGACACCCCACCCGCGGATGGCGCCCCACTCGCCCGATTCCTCACCGATCCTGCGCAGGCCGCGTCAGTTCGCTCAAAAGCGCTCCCGCCGATCCGTCCTCGCGTCCTCCACTATTGGATGGCCGTTAGCCAATCACCGCTGGGAGATGACGACTTCCTTCTGCCTCGCTAACGTCCAATGGCCAGCGTGCCTTACCTTTACTCCCGCCCCAGTTGGGGTTGGGTTAGGAAGCCCTCTTCCGGGATGTAGCCCGCCCATCATCCCAGCCGCAATGTTCGATTGGTTGGTCAATCAAGTCGGGCCAAAATCGGCGCGTCACAAACTGGGAAATCCTCACTGACGCGAATGGATGACGCAATCCGAGTACCGCCTAACTAACCAATGGCGATTCGGCCGAAGGCTCCGTGACCTTTGACCCGCTGGGTTTGCGGCGTCATGGCGGAGGTCATGCGGAGTTTGGCAGCGGAAAGCCCCCCGCCGCCGCCGCCGCTG